GCGCTGTGCGATGGCTGTGTGGCGAGAATGGGTGCGCGTGAGAGTTCAGTCGGTTGCAGTGCGACACCTTTTGCTCACTGGAAGGCGACGTGCGTGCGCAGTTAGAAAGCGTGAGGAGGAAGGCGACACTTTGCTCGCGCGTGACTTGAGTACCGAATCTTGATCGCGCCGCGAGGTTAGTACACTACTGTATGGAATCTGCCGGGAAATGTGGGGCCCAGGTATAGAAGGGTTAGTCCAACCAACTCTAGGAACAAAGCAGTAAGATCATTAAGAACGCACGCAACATGCAGAAAAACAAAGAGTATACGGTCGTACAAAATGCAAGGGATGTCGTTATGATAAGGGGGAAAAAAAACAGTGCAGTGACAGAGTGGTATATCGCTCGGTCACTGCAATGCGTAACTTATGACCACGCATTACATGAGTAAGGACGCTGTGTAGCTGTCTGTCAACAAAGAGCTGACCTAGACCATATCATGTGGGGGGTGTGCTCGAAACCCACCACCCAATTCTCTACACATTAATAGTAAGGAGCAGTGGGAAGCTGCTATGTGCAGCTGGGCGCCCGAGGTCCAGGACCAGATCTTGGATCGGGCCAAGAGGGTAGCGGAGACCTATACGCTAGGTAGGCTCCTCTGACCCTCCACCACCGCATCCTTCCCTCTTGAAATGAATAAAGTTTTTTCTCCTCCTCCTCAACTCGTTTTAAAGGTTACAGCAACGAATCGCCATCATCATCTTCAAGTAAAGAAGTGTAAATTTATGGGCTCATTTTCTATGTTAGACACGAGTGGACGAAAAGATAACTTGCCACCGGCAGGATCCTAACCGGCGACCTTCAACCCACTTTCCTTTATTCGCATTTACATTACGATTACTTCCCCTAACATCCCCGATACTTCTCTCGGCATCGTTATCTGCCGTTTATAATTAATATTGCATCATCTTCGAAGAAACTCATATACACTAATCTGCTCGAGTAGCACTAAATGCGACACGATGCGAAGGGGACAACGGTATTGGTCCAGTCATTGTTCTGAAGACGGATGCACTTTCGGCATGGTACTCCCACGCATATACTATCTATATATAATCTAAAAACGCGTTCACAGCTGAGCTAACACCTCGCGAGATAAACATTGACGACACGGACGGGTATAGAAGAGGCGGCCCAAAAATCGAGCAGCGGCGTAACCGCTCTGCCACCCTGCATATATATAATATATATATATATATATATATATAGATATATATATATCTATATATATATATATATATATTATATATATATATATATATATATATATATTATATATATATATATATATATATATATCCCTCTTTTCCGCATCCGCCCGGAATAATCTCAAACGCACACTTTTCAGACTCGCACAGATCCGATATCTATCCGGACCCGCGAGCTCTGGGAGAGATGCAACCCTATACACCAAAGCCCTCAGTAGCGTATATATAGTTGCCAGGCGGCCGTTCGTGTGATGGGTTCAACCGACTATCCTCCCCTCTAAACCAACTTTCTCTCCCGTTCCTACACAAGATATCACTCATACAAGCACTAGGGTACATAAAGGCGGAGTGAGAAGGAATCAACCCCCCTCCCAAATAAAATATAAAATAAACTTGGGGAATGTCTTTAGAAGTTCTCGTTCTCTCTCTCTCTCTCTCTTTCTCTCTCTCTCTCTCTCTCTTTCTCTCTCTCTCCGTAGTTTTTTTTTTTTAATTGCCCACAGAGGCTTTTCCAACGCTACCCCTGTAGGTGCCTTATAAGTCGGTTTGACGACTCAGACGAGAAGGGACAACACAGTAATAATAAACCAAACAAAGAACGGTCATACCACGCATACTCGCGTATAAGTCTTGCGCTTTCTTGTTTCTGCGATTTTCGACGATGCGGCCGTTATTGCACACAAGGTCGGGCTAAACATTCAAACTTTTCCGCGAATCTGCAAACAAGGACAGGTAAAGAAGACGAAAGTGTCCATGCCTATTTTGACTATTTGATTCTCTATTTCATATTTGGATTATTAACTTCTCATGGTAAGCGCACTACTATGAGCTGCAATAACTGACCAACCAGCCACACCAGCGCGTCTTAATTACTGTGAGTCTAGGAGTACCGCCGTAATGCTCTTCTGCAATGACCCGCAATAACAAAGGCGAAACGTTTACCATCTTTCTAATCAGTTCATTGGTTCATTCGTGAATGCAATTGTACCACGCCGCTGGCTGCTCGGTCTTCATTGTCACTGTCGTTTACGGATGCGTTTAGCTGCCGCCAGCTGGTGTTGTCAACGTCATAGTGTCGTACATGCGTAACAAATATGTCGGAAGCACTATACAGTTTACGGGTCCGCAGGAAAACGGCTGCAAAGGTTTAATGAAAGTTTCACAGTCCCTTGATATTGTGGCATCACAACACCCGAAAATAAGGGATGATTTGCATAAAGGACCAACATAGCAGCGGCACCGAATAACAATAAAGAAGGGGTGGGGGGGGGCTGGCTAACGTTTATCCTCAACACTCCAGCACACATCGCGAGTCCAAACGAATCTTCTGCGCCATTACGTTGGAGATATTCGTATCGAATTAAAAAAAAAATTCTGGTCTGCCAAGTGTACCACGCTCCCTTCACGCGAGTCTACACGGTACACGCAGGGAAAAATTTAGGGAAACAGGGAAGTCTAAAAAGGGCTTAAAACAGGGAGTCGTGCCGAACCGCGAATAAATAGAAAAAAACAAAAAAGTTTGCAAGCGGCGTCAAAGTCAGCGCCTGCAGTCAACCGCGGGCGCCACGCACTCGCACGCAAACTCGTACGGGCACACTAACTTTGGGGGCGTATACGTCTGTGCGTCTATGTATGCGTGCGTGTCACCGTGAGCCATACGGATGAGTGTGCCCGAGGCTCAAACCCCTCCCCGTTCCCCGAGTTCGAAGCCTACAGCACGACATCGCGGATTTGGGATCGAAAGGTAAACAGTACGAACGCAGCACCGTTCCCGTATGTATACTGGCTGCGCCGTCGTGGCGCTATATCCCGACGGGTAAACGCGGTTCTGACCTCCATGGAGTGCTGGAAAGCCGCGTGGGTCGACGGGATATCTGAGGGCTTCGACGAAAATGCAAACAGAGTTCCCCTAGCTGTCAGCTATCAAGTCTGAGAGTCTTATACGTGGCAGGAAAAGGCGGCGCTGGTGTGACTTATCGTTCTATACTACTTAACGCGATGGACTTCGTAAAGTGACAGCTACCGGAATCGCGTTAGCACAAAAATAGGGAGTTTTTTGAATAGGGGTCCCTAGAATAGCGTTCCGGGGTCCCTAAAAGTAGCGCCGAGGCCACTGCACATGACCCAAACACGGTTTGGGTTATGCTGTTAAGGACGCTATTTCTTGAATTCAGCGGGAGCCCTAAAGCCTGGACCAAAAGCTTTGCGTCAGGACAAACTTGACGGCATTCACTGAATTGACGGCTCTCGGCGAAATCTATACAGTGACCTGGAAACAGGTGGAGTGTCCAAATCACCACAGACCCTATTAAAAAAAAAAAAACTCTTAGCTCCTGCTTCACCTAAAGCGCACATACGCGAAGGGCTTTGGGGCCCCAATTCGAAGACTACCTTGTACTGTTCTGCACTGCGCTATAAATAATAACGCTAAGTGGATCTTAGGTGGGCTAGTTGTCTGCGGGCTTACGCTGAGTTGGACAGTAGTGGGTTCGGTTGGCCCCTATTTCGCGTCCGTTTCACGATAATGTTAAATGAAAGCCAGTCACACACTGCATGTCAGAGAGGTGAGGTAAGAGTAAATTATTGAAATGTACTCCTTTTTCAGGTACTTTTTCTAGTGAGTGAAATCTGCTCCGTCTTCTAACGTAGCCAGTTTAACTTCCCTCGTGTTAAATATAATTGCCACGTGACCTTTACAATTGCTGTCACCCCCTTTGCGGGTTCTGAACATCAGAGATGGGAAGCCATAGAAGCTCTAATCCACGTCCAAGACAAATTATTCAGTAACCCCAAATCGTTGCACAGGCAGTGTCGCCAGAGCAGTCACATACCCAGCGAAACCACCTGGTCCCGTCTGCAAGCACCGATGTTCCTCTGAACTTCAGCCTTGTCTTATAGCATATTGTAACATCGTCTACAGAGGAAGTCATTTTACACCGGAACCGAGCCGTTACCGTCAATAAAACCTGAGGTGTCCAGCACTATATTTCGTATTTTCTTAAGAACGTAGCTGGCTCACTTGTTAGAGGCATAAGACAGTGCTCATCATATGCTGCGCTACATTTGATGATCCTAGTCGAATGCGCCAGTTGACAGAGCCAGGTGAAGACAGTTGGCAACGAATGGAGAGTGCCTTCTGATTCGATGAAATTGTGAAGTTTGCCTGTATGAAATAATCGTTAGCAGGTTGTGCAAGACAGGACACGCATTACAGATAGGGTTACCAACGGTTCAGTATTTGCGGGACTGTCCCAATATTCAATGCGCCATCTTTATCGAGACCGCTAAACGTCCTCGATTTTGTTGCGGACCATCCAGTTAAAGTTTTGACAAGTTCCAACGCATATACCCCCAACGCACCACACGCTAAGGAACACGAAGTTCGCCCGAATGTTGTCTAGCGATGTAAAGGAGAGGCTTTAGGCCACTTCAGTCGAATTTCCGCACGAAATGCGACAACCTTAATACGAGTACATTATTCTGCAAGACGAAGTGCTGCGAACAGCACGTGACCAGCTGACGTTTTCAAGAGGATGCAACTATAAAGATTTAACGAATTAGCCTGGAAAGTACCACACTAATGAAAGCTGTTTTTGCTGACTCTTTATATTAATGCACCCACCCTCCCATCCCATCTCGACTGCCTTTGTTAAAGAGTAGGTGACTCTAATTACAGACTGTATCAAGCTGGTTTCGTCCTGCTGTGGACGTAAAAAGAGATAAAGCAATGCACGTAGCGTATGCGGACGTACCGTGAGGTGTTGGAAGAGCCAGGCTCGCATAATGTTGGTGGCCACCTTGGGGAAGATGCCGCGCTTCTTCTGGCGCTTCTTGCCTCTGTCCTCGTCTTCGTCCTCGCCAGTGCCGTCACCCGAGCCCACACTGGCATCGCCTGAGAACGAGAACGAGGCAAGGGCTCAAGCACACAGATACATACGTCATGTGACACTGTGGCAATTACCGGTTAAACAAGGCGCAGAACGGGTTCTTGAACAACTATGCGCACACGGCATGACGAATTTTGAAACCGGCTGATCGATCAAAGGGTTTATTCACCTGCTAAGTGATAACGATGCTGTACAGTCACGCTCACTATGAGCTGTAACACTCCGGCTGTGGTTAAAGTGACCCTAAGCCTGAATAATGACACTGATAAACGCGATATACGTTCAGAAAGTGCCATTCACTGATAGTTATAGGGATAACTCAATCAGCAGTGAAAAATCTGCATTCTTGAAGCTATATATAAACTCCGAAAAGAACGGCAGTGCGTGGAAAGAGTACGCGTAATATAAAAAGGAAAGATGGCGGTTGTTTCAGGGATTTACGTTATCTCTATTGCCCGTGCGTTACACGGTTCCAGAAGATAAGCAGAAGACACGGGAAGGCGCCCAGCGAAACGATCGGCCGGTGAGTATAGCGATGTGGTATATAAGAACGACTTCGTGTACGCCATGTTAAAAGATAACCTCGGCTGATAAGAGGCACGACGGACTGAGCGAGGAAAGACGCACGTTCGCCAAGACGAAAGCTAGCAGACGAACAACCTTCCGTGAAGAAAAAAAAAAAAACGTGCTTCTTTTCATTGGCTATATGGTCAGAGTCTTCGACTCGTGAAGTAGTCTTTACGGAACGCCTGACCACCAGCTAGCACGTGTTTCTTGTTTTGGGTGCGTTTTATGTAAGTGTTTGCAGAAGAGGACGGACATAGTCGAGCGAGTCTTTTTTTTTTTTTAGTACGCATTGGGAAGCACTACGAGCACGAAAAAAGTAAATGAAACACAAAGAGTCGAACGGTGCCGCGTATAGTTGCCACGCGGACGCTATCTCGAGCGAGACCGTCTTTATGGCCCGTTGCAATCGGGATAATCTCGAAAACTTGAAAAAAAAAAAAAAAAAGACGCCGAGCCTCTCCATCTAGTGAAGCTTGATCCTTGTCTTCTTCGTACGTTTTTTGTTGTTGTTGCTTTTTTCTTGCGGTGAACTTCTCGATAGCTGGTGACGTGTAAAGTTACTGCGCTCGAGCTGGGGCAAATGGGGCTGGGAGGGATATATACCCCTCTATATACCCCTGATATACTCTATATACCCCTCATATACTCTATATACCCCTGACAATTTAGCGAGTTGGCACTGGTTCATTACAAAACAGCACAACTAAAGGGCCTCTTCATCGTGTCCTCTTCTGCACTGTAAGCAAAAGTTAGCCGAGATGGGAGTTTCTCCAGCACATGAGCCCACAAAACTCCCCTGCCCCAATTATTTACTCCCTGGTAGGGAGTGAACTCGGCACATGTAATCGTAAAACGCCCCCTCCTTAATCACAGAGTTTATGAACGACATGACCTTGTTAAACTCCCCAGGGAGTTTCAGGTCACGTGGTACAAACTCCCTATAGGAGCTTAAAAACCCTCTTTGGGCCGTGACGTGGTGTGTGTGTGTGTGTGTGTTGTGTGTGGGTGTTGTGTGTGTGTGTGTGTGTTGTGTGGGTGTGTGTTGTGTGTGGTGTGTGTGTGGTGTGTTGGGTGTGTGTGTGTGTGTGTGTGTGTGTGTGTGTGTGTTGTGTGTTGTGTGTGTGTGTGTGTGTGGTGTGTGTGTGTGTGGTGTTTGTGTACGGGCATATGTTTGCACGTCGGTGGGAAACACATGTGCTTTGTGTGGCTAACCGTGTAAGCATCTGTCAACAGCCAACGAAATTATCAGTGCAGCGAAGAATAGCATCGACCGGTTGGTATTTACTGGGAACATTTCAATATATTTCGCACCGTTAAACCACGCTGCACATCGGTCCGATTCCTCAACGAAACGTCGTGAATGCCGCGCTTCAAAGGGCCGAGTAACAAAAAACTTCGAAGATAAATTAATGGTAGCAAAAAGTAAGCTGTTACGATCGTCAGCGGCTGCTCCTGAGTTTCACCATCAGAAACTTCGAAGTGGTCTGAAGTAGGCTTCGCTCGACTACGGCAGGCTGCCGGCAACCGGTCTGAGAGTTGCGCCGGCGACGCGCTCGCCCCGTCTCCGCCGATAGTGGCTTCCGGAGTGTCACCGGTATTTTCACCGGCTGTAACATCTAAGTGGTAAGAAGGCCTCGCTATGCCGTCGGTATCAAGCCGGCATCGTATCGAACTCGCACTGCGCGCCGGCCACCGCGGCAAGCGCTACGAGCTAGCACCGACCACCGGCGATGCAAAAAAATGTGTTCACAAAAAATGAAGGCTGCTGGGATGTATAACAGTCTTCTGCGCCTTGCGACCGCAGCTGTCAATGACTAACTACAAGGCGAGCACCGAACGAGGCGGAGTACGATCGTCAGCGATTGCACCGTAAAACTTCGAAGCGGTTCGAAGTAGGCTTCGCTCGACTACGGCAGGCTGGCCGGCAACCGGTCTGAGAGTTGCGCCGGCGACGCGCTCGCCCCGCTCCGCCGATAGTGGCTTCTCGGAGTGTCACCGGTATTTCACCGGCTGCAACATCTAAGCGGTAGGAAGGCCTCGCTATGGCGTCGGTATCAAGCCGGCATCGTATCGAGCTCGCACTGCGCACCGGCCGCCGTGGCGAGCTCTGCGAGCTCTACATGCAATGCATGCGAGCAATGGGAACAGCGGCTGCGAACCCTCTCATTCGTTTAAGTCTATCGCTCCGTAGCTTAAACTGCGTGGATAGTGGACACCTATTTCTGTGCATGGGAAAAACGAGACGTAAACTGCACATCAGCAAGCATTTTGTGATCGCCAGCTGTCATTCATCGAATCACCGTGCCGTACTCGTGAGTGAGGCCTAGTCGTCGAACGCGGTAGCGGCGGTCTACCTCGGTTCATCGCTGGAGCTGCTAAATGTGCCTCGTTAATGTGTTCATTCAAGGCCGCGCGCACTTTGTGTATGATTCCGTGCATTTTACGGGTCCACAAACAGTACTGCTAATGCAAATTCAGCCCGTACGACAGAGCCTCAACTGATGAAACTTTTTCGCTATAGTAAAAAAATAATAAATATTAGGCAGGCTTAGGATAAAAGGCATGTGTGTTGAAGTGCTTACATCAGACCACCGCAAGTTCATACTTACGCCGTGCGTATTTATTGCCTAATTAACAGCGAAAAAAGGCTTTCACCAGGGCGACATGGGAGGTAAAAATGTGGTGCATATATATACCCGGTGACTATATGGTAGGTGTGTACTGCGTGTGGCAAGCTGTGGTGAGTGCGAGTGTTGTGGTATAATGTGAACATTGTGATAATGTTTGTGTACTGTAATCATTGTTGTGCTCATTAAATGTTATGTAATTAAAGTTACGCTAGCGCACGGTACGGCTGCTGACATAATTTTTTTCTTTGTCGATGCAAAAAATTTACTCCCATACTGACCTGAAAAAGTTCCCCAATGGATGTAACTAAAAATCCCCCTGGCACCATGCAAAAACCCCCTACGGATGGGGAGTAAATTTTTTACTCCCAACGGAGGGGTTTATAAAACTCCCATCGGGGCGTGCGCTAGAGGACAAGGTCATTTACTCCCATCTCGGCTTATTTCTGTTTACAGTGTGTCCTCTTCATCGATGTGTGGGATTCTTTCGTTGCGCCGCGTTTCATGGCCAAATATATATAATATATATATATATATATATATATATATATATATATATATATATATATATATATATATAATATATATATATATATATATATATATATAATATATATATATATATATATATATACCTATCTCTGCGATTAGCTCGAACTCCGCAGCAAGTAGCAGCAAAGGAATGAAAAGACTATACTGGCACTCGCATTGTTCGTTCATCATCAGCGTGTGTTCAGCTTGTCAGCACAAGTATATGACGAAACATTCATGAACTACATAGACACCACAGGGGAGAGGGGGTGCAATGGGGTTGCAGACAGTTATCGACGGTTTACGCGAAAGAAGAGAGACGGTTAAAAGACTTCATTGATCGTATGTCGTGGTTTTATTAAGTCCGTACGCCATAAAAATGTAAGCCACCCCCACCCCGAGTGAAAGAGATGAACTGATGAGTATTGATTCACCTAGTTCCCTTGATTATGCACTCTTTTCTGGCGCTCGCGTTCCAAACGTGCCACCTGTCCCACTTATACGTGTTGAAAACGAGCGACCTGAGTGACGCTTACGCGAGACGTGAGACAACAGGGCGGTCCCTTAAATAGCTCCGCCGTTGGAATGTTAAATGACAGCCTATATTCCCTTCGCGAAATTACCGCTGCGCTCAAAGAAACAAAACGGGCATGCGATACTCTTTTCGGCGAGTCCTGCCATGTAAACAGTTGTTTGTGACTAAACCATTGTTTCCAACCGAGAGCAAGGTTCCTTAACAATTTCGCTTATCACCTAAGCACAAAAAGGAGCGATATCTTTCAGTAAGCCCCCTTTTATGATTTCCATAAACAGGCGCAAAGAAAAACCGACAGCAATGGCCTCGCGAAGGCAAAGGCGTCGTACTGACTGCGTTTGTTCACCGACGCCGTCCACTCACTGTTTGCGTCCCAGATAGGAAAACCGCGCCTGATGGCTACACAGCCACAAAACTCTTCTTCGCCCGCACCTCCACCGCAGCCCGGCGCTGCACGCTATCGAAGCATAAGCTCCTTGTACGCTATCCATTCGACGTTCCCAAACCCGTTCTCCAAAGCCCGCCGCGCCACTCGAACGGCGACAAGTTTTATGGCAAGTCGGGGACCGCAAGCCCTTCGCAAGGCACCCGTAAGTAAACACAAGCACGGGCAAACACAGTCGCACAGACAAAAGACACGCTACGCACGCACACAGAGAGGGCCGGCCACTCGAAGGCGACACTAGCGGCTCGTTTTCAACAGCGCGAGCGCTATCTGCGGCGGCGCTGTCGTTCGACTACTCGA